AAATTGGCGCGAGATTTTTAAGCCAATCGCGTAGCGCCTGAAGTACAAAACCAATTACTTTTCGACACTCTAATGAAAACTGCGCTTTGTCCAACCTGTTATACAGGTGGCAAGATAACTGAGTTCCACTGTAATTTGGTACATACAGTGTAAGCTCTCATAAGCAGACACCCTCAGGACTCAAAAAAACTTGTCCATAAATGGAACAGGAAGCTTATGAGAATGATTCTCGCAAGTGGCCAGTAAAGGTGTAAGGGGTAGATGGCTGCTTACAGGAGCTTGCCCAGCTAACACTAAACATTAGGAATACAAAAAAAATTACTGGCATATTAAATTATTTTTTTGTTTTGTTTTATTGCCTTATGCAATGCTGCGATGATGGCGATATCTGTATACAGTACTGTATAGTGGAGTGTAGTGATTAAAGAACAACATTCAACATTAACGTTCTCACTGCAGCAAAATGCAGTGACCAAACAGTTTACACTTTTTTTTATGGGTATCTTTCATAGTCCAATTCCTTTTGGGTGTCTGCTTACGGGAGTGTTAAAACAAAGGAAAAGTTTAAATTGTTGGTTCCCAAAGTGTCCACAGCTGCTGACGGAAATGTCTGTTTATGGGAATGAGTAAATGCAGACTTTGTATGGGAATTCAAACACTCAGGGTTTTGTGAAGGCAGTCGTAAGTAGGGTTGTCTGCTTTCAAGAGTGTTTGTTAAGAGTGCTTTCACTGTGTAATGATAAAATCTGTGTTTCCTACTAGGTGGGGCTTATTATCTCATATCCCGCAGTCTTGGACCTGAGTTTGGAGGCTCCATAGGTGTAATCTTCTCAGTTGCCAGTGCTGTAGCTACAGCAATGTACGTGGTTGGTTTTGCAGAAACAGTGCGGGACATCCTCAGGGATAATGATTCCCTCATGGTGGACGAGTCTAATGATATTCGCATTGTAGGCCTTATCACTATTCTTGTTCTCCTCGGCATTACCATGATTGGCTTGCAATGGGTTGTGCGAGCTCAAATGATACTTCTTATTGTGTTAGTTATTTCAATTCTTAATGTCATGATAGGAACCTTCATTGGACCACAGTCAGAAGATAGCAGAATGAAAGGTTTTGTTGGCTACAAGAAAGATCTCTTTGAGACCAATTTTAACCCTGGTTATAAAGATGAAAGTTTTTTCTCAGTCTTTGCTGTGTTCTTTCCTGCTGCGACAGGAATTCTAGCTGGGGTTAACATATCAGGTGATCTCAAAAGTGTGCGCAAGGCAGTGCCGAAAGGAACATTGTTGGCTATCCTCATCAGTACACTTGTTTACATAATGCTTGCCTGGTTTGTGGGTTCGTGCGTTGAAAGGGAAGCACTTGGTTTTGCTCCAGAGGTGTTGCAAAATAGTACAAATCAGTCGCTGGCGTCCTGTGCAGAACAGCAGTGTCAATATGGACTCTTAAATGACTTCCAGGTAAAGTGGACTTTTTGTCTTCGTGTTTTTGCTGTCATTTGTACCT